AATTATGCAGGTAACAAAAGCCTCATACTATCTTCTCATATTATACAATTTTGGCATAATACACTATTATCCTTGTACTTTTAGTATAGATAAATCTGATACTAGAAAATGGAACCTCGTAGGCAAGAATCAGTAACTACMGTCAGGTATTCTTCAACCAACGGTGTTGTCYTCAGAGCTTATAAATAGTATCTCTTCATACCAAACTCCCACATTGCTTTTTAATGTGAATGTTTTGTTTAGTTCAGCATTTCTTATTTCAGCTCAGTTTAAATCATATCCCAGGTAGTAAATTATTAGTTTTAAGTCTCTGACAATAACACACAGCTTCAGCTACAAACATTCTGCTCCCAAATTCAAGCCAAGTRCTTTCTGTGACTCAGGAAGCGGGCGCAGAGCACCCAAGCGGACAAAAATATTTATATGTAAGGAGATCCTAGTCAACCTTTCCATGAGCAGGTGAATGCAAACACAACAGAACTGCTCAGAAACAGCACTTAGCCAGCAAACAGCTTTAGCAAGATAAATGCCTGGCTGCTCTGGCAAGTCAGGGAGGCAGGTATGCAGGGCTGGAAAACAAAATTAAGCACAGGTGGAAAAACTAGCACAGGTGGAAAAATTGGCTGCAAACACAGATTTTGTTCCCTGATAAAATATTAAAAATAACACTACTTGCAGAGTGAAAGTTATTGTCCCCAAATGAAWATATTCCTAGTGGATAGCACTGTGAAGGCTGAACTCTTTAAATATCAAAAAGGCAAATATGTCAGAATATTAAATACATCTCAATATAGTCCTATAAATATGGCTTAATGTCAGGGGCATCAATGACATTGCATATGGATCAGCAGACAAGGTGGTTTTGTGCTTACCTGAACTCAATCACTGCCTTTTGTTTAGGCACTGTAGAAAAGAGTTCACTTTTTATTCCATATTCCAAGCCATCTTTCAACACCTGCTGCAATACAGTCTAAAGGGCAACAAAGAAAACAGGAGGAAAATATTTTTSAGCAACAGAAAGTGGAATGAAAGAAAAACTCTTTACCAACTCCTCAAGGATCACTCCTACAGCCTGTACACACATAAGCAATTAGATTGCTAGTTTGCTAAGAAAATAAAATCTCATAAGCACATGGAAATACCATTAGCTTTTGAAAGCYGCATCTGGATAATTAAAAAAGTGAAACACCAAGCAGAGACTAGGTTGATTCGGTTGAAAACTTGGAAAGATGGGGGAAGATTCATATTCTTCAAAAACCATTGCCTAGTTAGGGAGCATGAAGAGACCAAACAGTCATCAGGAGCTAATCAGCRAGCAGAAAGTGAGAGTCAGTCCAAGAACATGGGTAGGGCAGTAACCTCATATAAAGTGAGGGAATCTTCATGTAAAGAAGACTCCTCTTACTCTAACCAGGATCCTCACCTCTCCTTGTCCGGATAAAACATTTTAAACGAGAGGCTATCCAGTACAATCAAACCACAGATTTGGTTGAAAAAAGAATAGAATAATTATGAGTAGGCCTCACTAGAGAACCTACTTCACTATGCAGCTCAACTTTTTTAGTAAGCTTTTTATTTTTAAAAATAATAGGAGAGCTACATAATATACATCTGGGCTTCTTGAAAAGTGTCATCTTCCCAAGAAAAGAAAAATGTATCTTATAAAGGAAGACTTTGCAGCGTTTGGCCACTTGCCTGACCTAGGCAGTCCTGTCCTAGATGCAAGGCTTTAGTCAAGGTGTGAATGTTTGAAGTGCAGGAGATTTCCACAGCACATGGCATGGCCAGATTGCATACGCCCAGTCCATTCGATACACAGGGGATTTATCCCTTCCCTTTATTTTTATCATAAATCTGTTCTCCTTAACAGTGATAATTGCAACTAAATCTTATCTCCTCCTTTTCCCTTAGTGACTTAATACAAAATTTTATATTCTAATTCCACCTTTTTTCCAGCATTCTTTTTGAGCCAAGTAGTTCTGCTYAAATCTTCCTACTAAAGCTAAAGCCTCGTGAAATCTTCTTCATGAATAAAAACAAATAATTGAAACTACTCTGTGAACAGTCACTTGCTATATTCTTATCAAGATTGGTTAAAAATATTAAATGCAAAATTAAACGAACTGTTTTTAGGCAATTAATAAAGTAACTAATTCATAGGAATGCCTAAAYGCTAGCAATTCATAAGATGAAAAAGCCTAAGTGAACTGGTAAAAGTTGACACAGAAAGAAGACACCAGCAGCATTAGCTCAGATCCGATTTCCTGCCCCCAGTTCAAATGCCGTCCTTTTTCCAGGACCAAGATTTCTCACAGGAACTGGCCAGCACACACAGCAACACTTTGACCCCTGTGACAATGTCGTTTGCTGCACAAGTTCGCTGARCCAGCCTGGCAAAGTGGCCACGCAGTCTAAGTTCAACAGAAGATCTCCAGGCTAGGGGTACCAGCTATCTACTTATCTCCCCAAAGCTCCTGCGAATAACCCAGAGGGCAACTGAGACAGCCCTCTTACAGATTGAGTGGCATCTTCCTTTCATCATATTATTCCTTTAACAAATGAAGCTTTCAATTTTCCTCAGGCCTTGGGCTTCGAGGAACATGGCTTTCTTTCATAGTAAAGTATGCAATGATAAAACTGTAGTCACTATTTTCAGTTATCTATCAACCTTCTTCAATTTAAACAAGGGTCTTTACATGCAAGATTAAAACCTTTAGTTTATACTTTAGAAACTCAAAGCACATGCCAAGTCTACCTCTTAAAGGGAGAAAAGGGTGGAAAAAAAGTTTTATTATCAACTGAAGGCGGACCTATTGTTTCCTCACATTTTTGAAGAATAAACTGCTGTGAGCTACATAAAAAAGCAGTAACTGGAATCTCTGAGGGAACTCATGAAACAGCTGTACGCAGAAAATTCTTTTCAAGACAAGTATTTTTCAGGTTTGCACTGAAGAATTTATTTTTACCTTAGTGCAACTGAAGTATTTACAGTACTTACCTTTGCTAATAATTCTCTGTTTATTGTAAAGTTCACTGTTCCTGGACCAGTGCTGATTTCACTCACTACAGCATCGCATTTAAGCTAAAACAAAAGCAAAACTCCATCATGTAAACAGTTAATTAAACAATTGAAAAGAATGGAAGCAATCACAAATGGATCATTTAATCCATCCTGTACACAAAGGGAAGATTTTATTATTTTCAGTCCGTGCTTAATAGTTATGAATTTAGCTCAGCTCTAAATATTTTATATTCTTTGTGCTTCATCCCTGCGTATATCATGTTCTTACAGAGGAATATGAGCATAAAAAAGATAAATTCTTTCCTCATGTCAGTTCTCAGGCTTACACACTAACTCAAACACGCACCGAGGTTATGGTTAGCCTTCAAATTCCTTAGCCTTAGGAAGCTCCAACAGAAACAAGAGTGTTTATAGACACTCATATTAAAGACTCAGACACTGTCTAGAGCTCTTCCAGCCCTTTCTCCAAACATCCTGTGGTTCTACAGTAACTGGATCTCCTCATGCCTAAGGCTTGGATGATAATGTACCACTTGGACAACACTGTACCCCTATTCTGTACAAAGATATAAAAATCAAAATCCCCTCAGCAAAGAGCTAAGAGTCCAAAGATGAGACAAGAATCAGCCAGAGAAAATCAAAAGCACATGGAAAAAAAAAACCAATTAAAATCTCTGACAGACAGTCCTTAGCATACCACAGCACATTGTTTCGTTCAGCATCGTGTTGTGCTCTCATTATTTAGGCCTTTTCAGTTAACAAGAAGAATTTCGGTCTCTTCTGCCTAACCTAAATCCTCATTTCCTAACTGACTTAGAACATACCATTAAATCTTGAGGGGCTTCATCAACTGCTTAGCACAATGAAAACTTATTACTACTTTTTGCTCTCTTCACCACATTTTCAAAATGATGTTACACTGATTTCTACATTACTTAGCTCCTTTGTGGATAACATGATCAATCTAAATAGACTATATTAAGTGCTTCTCCTTTATCCCAACAAAAGCACTCTAAGAGATTAACAGTATTTTTTTCCTTTGCTTAAGCATCACAGGCTATTGAATTTTAGGAATTGTGTTGATTATATGTTCTTCTTTATTGTTGCAGCCATCGTTCCACATAAACGTAACACAGAGAGAAAAAAAATAATATTATGATGGCTCTAATATCTCTAGTCTGTAAATTCCTAACTGCAAATATATGAGGTTAACATATTCATGTACCTTTTCTGCCAATGTCTGAGCTCGAAGCTGAAGATCTTGTGGTGAGTGATCGCTAGAACTGTACTCTTTTATGGAATCAATGGAAAGCTGGAAATCACCAATTTGCCTTAAAAAAAAAGAGAGAGCAAGAGAGAAAGGATTAAAATGAAGAGAAAACCCATTARAATGATGCAGGGATTTGGTAGAACTAAGCTGAGTCTGAGCATGCCACAAGACTAGTCAGCAAGCGTAAACCTACCACAGATATCTTAAAGTTCACTATTCAYGAATAAATTAAATTTACTTGATAATATCATTGGAGCTCTCAAGTTCAACACCAAGAAAAAAAATCTATAACTTCATGTGGGTTCTAGGTAGTTTCTCTTTCAGATCCTAAAGGCTGTAGCATTTGCCATACAATCTATTACTTCTACATGTTTTAAAGCAGATACATTTTGAGCCTGTTCAAAAGAAAAAAAACAGTGATTAACAGGACTTTAGGGGTAAATATCTTCAGAAAAGCAAACCTCAGCTAATATACCAATCCAAGGAGGTAGTTACTTAAATCTARTTAAATCACTGTGTTTGATTTAATTGAAAACACCAGCAATACCATGCAGAAGCATACTAGTAGTATAACAAATTAATAAGCAAAAAGCAAACATTGTAACATAAAATGACACTACCGTTTTTTGGAGACAGGAATTGCAGATATGGACTTTATTAAGTTTTCTGGTGGCAGATCCAAAATTTTTGAAAGCTAAATTTGAAATAAAGAACAAAAGCATATRTATAYAYAYAYAGTTTTATTTTGGTATATAATTACACATAYATATAGCTTTATAGTAAYGTGAAGTGAAATKGCACACTAACTTTATAGTAACGTGAAGTGAAATTGCACACAGGTTTAAAAAAAGTTAAACCTTATTAAGTAACACTAACTTAAGCCCATTACTTAAAAGATTCGGTCACAAAGCTAAAAAAAATAACAAAGGCTCCCTAGAAAAGGACAGACCAAATACTGTGGTTTTTTTTCCCTTGAGGAGCCCGATTATTCCCACAGAGCCTTTTCTACCGCCCCAGGCTCTGCTGCTTCCTTAGGCCACCAGGCGCGCAGTAAGGAGGGAACTAAGCCCTGCAGCCGCCTCACAGCACAACGAAGCCCCTGGCTCAACACCTCGCGAGCCGGGAGGGGAGCGGGCTATGGGGAGGGGCAGCCCCACAACAGAGGCGCTTCGTGGAGGGTTACAGGGACCAGCGCCATTCGCACCAACGGCCGCGCGCGGCACCAACGGTCGCCGCGTTCGCGTGGGGAGGATGGGCCCGGGGGGGGGGGGGGGGAGGGGAGAGTGTTGCCACGGGAGACGCGCCCCCTCCCCTCCCCGTTAAGGGGGGCGGGGCGACGGTGCTGGCGCCTCTCGGCAACCGGTCGGGACCAAGTGCGAGACTCGCGGGGGGGGGGGGTGGGAAGGGAATGTGGGGGGCGCGGCGGCTTCGCGCTGCTCTCCTCCGTGGAGGGGCCCCTCCCGCGCGGCGGCGGCGGGCGGCGTACCTGGGAGGCGATGCTCCGCCGGAAGGAGCAGGCCGCCATGGCCGCGGAGGGGGCGGAAGGACATGCTTGTCCCTCCCCCCGCCCCTTTCCTCTAGCCCGGGGCGGGTCGCACCATTCTCAAAAGGGGGGGGGGGAGGGTGGCGGCGCTGCGCTCCCCTTTGGAGCCAGGCGTAAGGAACGCACCATTACACGGGGAAAGGGGGGGATACAGCGAGAGGAAGGCAGCGGGCGGGGGCGCCCTTGTCGCAGCGCGCGTGCGCCGCTCCTCTCCGCTCCCCCCCCAGCCTCCCGCGGGCGGTTTGGCCGTTGGCGCCGGGCGCGCGCGAGGGGCGACATGAGCACGTGCTCCGTCTCCAAGGTGAGCGGGGTGGGGGCGCTGCCTTCCAACTGCCGCTCCCCAACCGTTACTCCCCAACGGTCGCCGCTCGCGGAGCGTTGGAGTGGGCAGGGGAGAGGGGGCGCCGAGCGCTGGCCGTGGCGCAGGGGGGCAGCTCGGGGCGCGGCGGGCGGAGCGAGCCGCCCCGGCCCGTCCTGTCCTCAGCGGCTCCTCAGCTTCCGCCTCGGGGCACTTGTATTGGGGGGGAGTGGCGTTTATGCCCCCCTCACAAATCCCTACTGCTTAAATACAGCTGCGATAGAAGTGATTGTTAAAAACGTGGATCTTTTTTGGACCTYATTCTCTCTAATGTGCGTAGTTCTGCCTCCCTTTTTTAAGTCTTTGATACACATTGATAACGATGGTACTACTTATTAATCCAAGTTATTCCTCCCTTGTTGTTCCAAGTTCCCTTGACTGATCTTGGCTCTGCTGTCCCATTTCTGGGCTCTTTTTATGTTTCCATYCAATGCTGTTGCCGTAGCTACATGTTTCTAAGTTGCCCTTTTTTTCCCCCCCTTTCCTTGGAATGGTCAGWCCTGGGCTCTCTCCTTAAAATCTCTGCTCACATATTCACCCAGTCCTGCTTTACCCCAGGCATTTTGGCATCTCAAAATACATCTTTTTCCCCTCTGCCACTTCTTGCAGCTGAACTAAAATTCATGTACAGCTGAATGGATCAGTAGGGTTATGTCTGTGCTTTTTTTTTCCAGTTTTAGCTAAAATAACATTGACATTGCTTCATGTACACTTGTCGTGTATTCCCCCTGAAATTAACAGTGRAATATAAATAAAACTGTCTTTGCTGACATTTGTATGAAATGTTTATTTTCTCTTTTTGCCTTGGAAAAAAAACCCTCTTGAGTCGAAAGTTTCTATTTGGCCTTTAGCTAGGGTTGGCTTTAGGGCAAGTATGCTCATTGGGGAGTATTAGCGTAGAGAAGAGCTTAAAATGTAGTGTTGGGACACTAAACTCCCTATTTCCTGCCCTGCCTGGATGTGCAGTGGACAACAGCTGTGCTTTACCAGCAGACTGGAATGCTCTTTTATTATTACTTCTTTCCCCTCACAGGAAAGTTCCTTTATACTTTTTTTTTTTTTTTTTTTTAATTTGTGATTTGCTTCTGGATCCTTCATCATGCAAGTCACTGTGCATGCTCTTACTGTCAGGTTAAAGTAAAGGTAAAGGAACAATTTTCAAGCAAATTTAAAACTTAATCTGAAGCAAGCAGATTTTCATATCAAAAATGGATATTACTTTTAAATAGTTCTGCAAACTAATTTGAAAAGTCTCTTGTTTTTGTTCTGTGTCTCTTTCACATGACACTTTTTTTTTTTTTTTTCTCCATTTTACAGACCGTTTTACAGTATGGTCTCTGTTGAGTGGTATAGGGAAACTTTATGCTTACAAWGCTTACAAAATACTAAATATAATTATATTTCATTTAAGAATAGTATTTCTTATATATACATGGATTATCACAGAATGGCTGAAGTTGGAAGGGACCTCCAGAGATCATCTAGTCCAACTCCCYTGCTCCAGCAGGGACACCCAGRGCACRGGGCGGCATCCAGGCGAAGATCTCCAGAGAAGGAGAMTCYGCAACTTCCCTGGGCAGCCTGTTCCAGGGCTCTGTCACCCTCACTGGAAAGAAGTTCTTCCTCMCAGGCAGATGTTTCTTGTGTTTCAACTTGTACCCATYAACCCTTGTCCTGTCACTGGCCACCACTGAGAAGAGCTTGGCCCCTTCCTCCCTRCATTCTCCCCTCAGGTACTTAAACATATTAACCAGATCTGCTSTCAGYCTTCTCCAGGCTAAACAGGCCCAGCTCACTCAGTCTTTCTTCATATGATAGATGCTCCAGTCTCTTAGTCATCTTTGTCACTCTCCACTGGACCCTCTCTAGAAGCTCCACATGCCTCTTGTACAGTTGTTTTGGCTTATTCCAGTTAACAGTCATGAATTACTATTCTAACATGTGTACTGTAATGTAAATCAGATTCTAGATTAGCTTTTCCTAGGGAATATTTTCCAGAACAYTTAGCGTATGTAGAATAACCACAACTTTTCTCCAACAGATTTTAGATGTTTTTAGTATATGTGGTAATAAGAAAATGTGCAAGGATGTTCATGAACATAATTTCAACRTCAAAATCATCATAATTTTTTAATATATTCTGTACATTGAACATATGAAGTATAACAGGTGGATTACCTTTTGTGCTGTGCATATTTAAGTTGCTGCTTTGCTAATGTAGTATTGTCTCTTTCGTAGATGTAAAATATTTTTTTTCAAATTTTACATTATTATATTTTAGCTGTCGCTTATTTTAGAAATCAAAGGCAATAATATTCAGAAAAGCTTTGTTGTCCAGTTCATAAAGTTCTTTCTCAGAGGAGGACAATGTTATGTCCTGTTATGATGTTATGTTATGATCTACTTCAGTTTCCACATTTGTATCAAAAGGGAAAGAACTTGTCCATTGTATTAAAAGGGAAAGGAAAAGTTGCTCAACAGACAGTGATTAAAATTGAACATGTCTCTGGGTTTGATTTCCACTAGATCATTCTTAAAATAGCAGCTGATGGTTATCTTAGGCCGAGTTTTGTCATTTTTTCTTATATCAGCATCTCTGTCAGAAAATGTGGGATTGAATCAATCTGCTTATGCATGTTGGACATACGTATTTTTCCTTCCTGCACTGAAAACCTCACAGTGAGAGCTGAGGAAAGCACATAATATTGGATCAACAGGAAATTATGACTCTTCAAAATAATGAGTTTTGTTGGAAGAAGRAAACATTTCAAAATTTCTGGAGGAAAGTGAAAAAAGATCTTCAGAATTAAAAGCTGGGTAGTAGCTTGTTTGACTACTTTTTTTCCCGCTGAAGCTGAGATTTAAATGGGCCATGGCTTCTGTTTGGCAGACTGCCTTGGGGGCAGAGTCATCTTTTACCTGAAGACTTTTCAAAATTCTTTGTCATCCCTTCTAACCATCTTTGCTTCTTCAAAAAGAAGATGGGGATGCACATGTTGCCTTTGGTAGTAGTAGTAGGGTGTTGTTGTTTGCTTTTATAAGTCACTTTATTTGTATTATTCTAGATCTTGATCTATCCCAGCCTCTTGGAAAATTAGTCCATCAGGAAATCCATCAGGAAGACATTGGCAAATTGGTTTCTGTTGTTGGTTTAATGGAACACTGAGGTTAAAGGACAATAAAGTTACCGCTAAGGTCATGGAACCCTGATCAGATTGATGCTCATCTTGAAGTTTGTATTTTTCTTGCTCTTCTCTAGGGCTGCTTTGTGTTTAAACCAAGTCCCAAGAAGAGAAGGGTATCTCCAAAAACAGGTCAGTGCCTTTTGCTGTATGTTGCTATGCTTTAGAAGGRCTCATCCTGCAAGCTTCCATTGGAATTGAATTCCGTGATAATAGCAGGAGTTTCTGTTACTCCTTGATGTCAGTACTTCTGCAAGCTGTTGCATTTTYAGGGGAACATCAGGAACTTGTTGGATAGTGTGAATGGTTCTTTTAACCTCAGCAATTGACAGCATGGTGCTCTCAACTCTTTTTTTTTTAACTTAAAAAAACCCCTCTTTTCCATGCTACATAAATACTTACATGCTACATAAATACTTTCCATGCTATTTAAATACAACCTCTCTGAAGAGGTTGAGTAAGCCCCTTCCAAGTTTTTGACTGTATTAGTGATGGAGAGATAGACCTACAAAGTTTTCAAAACGGAAAGATTTTTTTAATTTGTTTTTATAATGTTTGTTTGCCCTGATTTAACCTCAAGCTCATCTGAGACTTGAGGTGAAGCCAGCTCTTACCTTGTACCTGCACACTTGGGTTAACAGATTCTGCATATTTCCTAGCTTGTGCTACCAGATAACTTCAGTTAAGTGGTTAAGAGAAGTTATGACCCTAGAAATATTTAAAGATAATGTTCCTTTTTCAGTCAGATACTTCAATTTATTCTCAACAACAACAAAAAAACTTTGTTTCCATAATTTTGTTTGTGTTTCTCTTTGCTTTTTGTCTTTCCAGCTGATTATTTCAGAGAAGGAAACAATGATTCTGAGGACAGTGGGCTGCGATTTGCTACTTGCCAGTCGTTATGGAAACAGATCAAATCGGAAACGGAGGTGAGTCTTGCTGGTAATACTAAAACAGCAGTTTGCATTTGTAACACTGGTGCTTGCTTGTTTGTTTCTGGAGATGTTTCACATGCTTAGAAGGCAATTCATTAAAGCAATAAGAGGGCCAGAAATATAAACTAGGACTGAAGTTGCTGTTCAGGAGATATATATATATATTTTATATATATATATATATATTAGATATATATTTATTTTAAAAAAAAAGTTAAACATTGCTGTTAATCACAGAGGTTCATGCTTCTTGATGCTTCAAGCAGCTTCTTTCAAGCTTCTGATTGTCATTTTTACTAASTGCTGGCAAGCTTCTGATTGTCATTTTTACTAACTGCGGGCATATTGCTGGTTTCTACCTCTAATTCATTTGTGTGCTTGCCAGCCCTGCAAGGATTTTAGACTGCTCTTGAGCTCACAGTTCATAGCAGCCCAAGATTCACAATGGTTTTATGTGACCCCAACTTCATGGATGTCAAATCCTGAATGGCAGAGCTACGAGCTTAATTTTTTGACTTA